GAGCATAACCTATAAATACTAAATAGAAGTGGCGGCGGCAGAACATTCAGATTCGGTCCCTCCTTTCAACCCTTTGTGTTCTACAGTTCTCTCTTCTCTTTCTCTTCTCTTCTCTACATTTTCCTTCTATTTTCGAACCTGAAATCTATTAGGGTTCAAGGCTGATAGCAGTCTTGAACTTCTACTTAGTTCACTGTCCCATTTACTCGGTATTACTTGCCCGTGCTGAACATGGGTGTCCCTCGCTAGTACATGTATTACATAACAAACAATTGAAATAAAAAAATGATGACAACTTATGTTTCCTCTAACTAATAAAACTTGTCACATGTGTCAAACAAGTGAAAATGGAGCACTCGCGATATATACTTGTATAAGTAAATAGGAACATGGAAAAATTGGCCATAGCAAATACTAAAACTTGAAAATCAACCCAGTATCAAGATATTCCTAGTCCTGGCCACCCCTGGCCTTCATTAAGACCAAGTCAGGCTTTCAATATCCAATAGAAGGACTACCATCACTTATAAAATACATTCCTGCTTTGAAAATTGAAACACCTCTGTAGGTGTAGAACTTACAGAGAATATTAGAGCATTTCTTTCACAAATCAACACCCTCATCAAGGCCCTTTGAACTGATCATCACATTTGAATCAATCTGCTTATCAAACTTCTTTTTTCTCCGTGCTTCAAACTCCCGGAAACCTTCCATCTTCACAAGAGTCAATACAAGATACTTATCATGAGAAATATGTAAGACCCTGATAATAGTGCTAAAGACTCAAGAGATGTTTCAAGCAATTCAACAGGGAAATGCCACTTGCCTGTTGGAACTGGTCCATTGAAATGGGATTATCATGTAGAGAGATATTCTGCAAAGCTTTGCAATCCTTCAATAAATTGTGAGGTATCTATCCAAAGAGACACTGAACTATTAAATTACAGCTTATGGTAGCAACATAATATGGTATATATGGAAAACATTGTTTTTACCAAAAAAATATGGAAGACATGTTCATCCACAAAAGCATAAGGTATGGAATAATACATTAAAAGTATAGATAACTTAACTATGAAACTTTGCAGCAATTTGTGTAACATGGAAACTCAAGACATAATCACTTATTTGACAAATCATAATTTTTAATGATTTGAACCATATTAATATCATCATCATTATCATCATCATCCATGCCTTATCCCAACTAATGGGGTCGGGTACATGAATCCTGTTTCACCAATCCATTCTATTTAAAGCCATATCCACTGTTAAAGTATTAGTGCTTAAATCATTTCTTACTACTTCTACCCATGTCCTTTTTGGTCTGCCCCAAGCTCTTCTAGCCCCTTCAATGTGCAACAAATCACTTCTTACTAGCACAGTTGGTGGTCTTCTATGCACATGCCCAAACAACCTTAGTCTATTCTCTCCCATTTTATCACCTATTGGAGCTACTCCTAGGTTCCTACAGATAACTCCGTTCCTAAGCTTATCCTTTGTAGTTTTTGCACTCATCCATCTTAGAATTCGCATTTCTGCCATATTCATTTTCTGGACATGTTTCTTGTCTGCCCAACACTTTGCTCCATACAACATAGCTGGCCTCACAATTGTTTTATAGAATTTTCCTTTTAGCCAAAGTGGTATTTGCCTATTACATAAAAATCTAGATGCACCCCTCCATTTTGCCCATCCTGCTCTAATTCTTTGGGTAACATCCTCCTCTCTCCCTTAATCCCTTGTTATGAATTACTGAACCAAGGTACTGGAAATGGTCAAATTGAGTTTTCTCTTGGTCTCCAATTCTAAGTGTACCTTTATTTAGACTCCTATTATTACTAAATTTACAAGTCATATACTCTGTTTTAGTCCTATTTATTTTAAAACCTCTTGTTTCTAAGGCATATTTGAAATATATTAATATATTGCTTGAAAAAATCAAAGGTCAAACAGAAAAAGATAATGAGTAAGGGTGCAAGGAATATAAGACTTAAAAGGGTAAAGAGAAACGTTTTTGACCAATCTGCAGATATGATGATTAGTTCAAGATATTCCTATCTGAGAACTTCCTTGGGTCATGTAGCATTTCCCTTAACTAGCCTTCCCACCAGAAGAGGGGACACTAGAGGATCATCATCACCAACATCCACATTTACCCCAACTATATTGAACCACCTATATGAAAACCATACAACCTCCCAGTCTACCCACATTTTTTCCCTTGTCCTTTTAGACCCTTCAATTTGCACCAACTTGATTGTTTTACAAGTAACATAAAAAATTTTACAAGTCTTCATCACATATAACTAAATTCTTTTAACTTGATTGTTGCTTCATTCTATTATTCTTTGAATGCATCCATTAATTTCACCCTTCATAACATCACTCATATATCTAAATTCCTCAACTCAGCAATCATCATATTGTCTATTAATTGTCTAATATCAGTCTTTGCGAAGCAAGATTAGTCTTACAGGTCAATAGTTCCTTATGAATTTCATATTTAGCTTATTTAGAATCAGTGTTTTAAAAGGTGTGGGAGGCATATGCCTAGAGGCATGCCTCCAGGCGAGGTGCCCCCAAGACAACTTAAGGCATATCCCAGAGGCATTGATATCTCTGAGGCGTACACCTCAGGTGCAAGAGGCATGCACCTCAAATTCCTTTTTCTTGAGGTATCTTAGAGGCATACACCTCATGTGCCTCACACACACCTCATACAAAAATATAGGAAAAAAAGAAAGGAAAAAGAAAAGAAAGGAAAGGAAAAAATGGAAGGGAAAGAAAAAGAAAGAGAAGAAAAAAACAGAAAAAGAAAAGAAAAGAAAAGAAAAGGGAACAGAAGGGAAGGAAAAAGAAGGGGAAAGAAAGTTTGAGCCCCGAGGCCCCCAACCCCTTTTCAATGCAGCCCAAGGAGGATCCCTTTTTTCTTTGACAGGACCCCATCCCCATCCCCCCTTTCAGCTAGTATTATGCATATTTGCTCTTCTTAATATAAAAGATTTCTATTAAAAAAAAAGAACAAAGAGATCCTCCTTCCCCTCTTCCTTTCTCCTCATCCCCCTCCTCTTAAGGAGGCTTACGCCTCTTACGGTCTGAACTACTCCTCACGCCTCCAAGTAGTGGAATGCCTCATGTCACGCCTCCGCATTTTAAAACATTGATTAGAATGTGAGGACTGCAGAGCAGTTCAGAAGCATCCTCCTCTATCCACCCTCTCCCCCCCCCCTCTTTATCATGGATAAGACAAATAACACAAATAGTTGTAAATTGGGTGTTCTAGCATCAGTCTTAGTCTTAACTGATGTTACATCCCCAGGCAATGTATTAATGTCTTTACAATGGTGTCTCATGTGGCAAGATTATCGGCGAGATGGCAATTTGCATTGTAGAGTCGGATACCCATCCTAGGGGCAGTGAAGCTGAATTTTGAATGGCTGCTCCTTGGGAAACTTGGGACCATCCGATGGAGGAGGAGATCCTTCAGATGGCTCAAAGGGAGATCTGAGAGACCCTGGTATTTCGGACATTTACGCAGAGAAAGAAGAAAGAGCTCTGACATCCAGGGTAAGAATCGAACTTAAATGGGTCTAGATGTCAGCAAATCCTTTTCTTTTTTTGGATAGTTTAGCTAGATAAGGAGCAGAGGGCTAAGTTGTACAGAGTACAGTAACCTCCATAGAGTTTCTTACTTTTTCTTATGTACCACTTTTTGGTCTGCCTTCAATTATGAGAATCTCTGATTTGACCTTGTCCCACCCTCTTGGGTAGGCTTGAAAAAAGTTTCTTTTGTCAATCCAAAAAACAAATGCAATGGGTATGCACTGTCTTTTGGAGCATGTATTGGAAATTAAATTTTTAGAATACCACTCTGTTCACAGCTCATGAAACTACTTTACTGACAAATTATATTACTTAATAAAGAAAGAAAAACAAAATATATATAAGGAGGGGAACTGAAGAGAGAGAGAGAGAGAGAGAGAGAGAGTTCTTTAACAGGACAATTCAACAGTTATCAACTTTTTCAGCAGTTCCTGGGGAAACGACAGTTCAAGTGCTTGCTGAATCATAGAGATGTGAGAACTTTCCAGTCCAAATGGTCTAACATCTAATCCAGTCTAGTCAATTTTTAAAAGTGTTAGCGACTCTTAAAACCAGCATGGCATGCCTAACATACAAGGATGGATAATAATCAAATCAAAGTGAGCAAGTAGAGAAGCACAATGAAATAAAGCAAATCCTTAATGTTTCTATTCATGGTTCAAACTTCAAAGTATCAAAATAAATTGCAAAAGCAGATAGTGGGAAGAAAAAAGTATTTACTTGGACCAAATTGCCCTTGGTTTAAAAGCCCGCCATTCTTCTCACTTTTCCTCATCCCTCTCTTCTCACTATTTCCTACACCTTTCTCCCCCAATCTCCAATCTATCTCTCCCATAAGCAAACTTACTTCATGCCTCTATTGGCATCTCAATCTAAAAGAACGAAAGCAAAAGGGGAGTCTGTGCCATTTTTCCATGCCTTTGTTGGTTCTTAGCTCGCCTCTGTATGCTCGAAGGACCATTTTCTTTGAAATAACATGTTCCGCTGTTGAGGGCATTCTCTCTTTCTATTTGTGCGCTTGTTGGTTCTAACCTCTTAATGGAATATAAATCCCATACCACCTTGTATTGACAGAGGTCCCATCTAACATGAATCCATTGGTAAAGACAAAGTATTCATTGCTGATGGATTCCTTGTTCCTAATTCTGGCAAAGGAGACATCAAGTTGTCTGATGCAATTTCCCTATCCTTCGTCCTGCATGTTCCTAAGCTTAATACTAACTTGCTCTCAGTTAGTAGTATTACAAAAAAGCAGAATTGTTCAATAACATTTTTTCCTGATCAATGTATTTTTCAGGATCTGGAACAAGGAAGGTGATTGGGACTGGCCGTGAGACAAATGGAATCTACCTACTTGGAGGAAGTGCTCATAAGGAGGATAGTGAAACTAAGAAATCCTTTGTTTCTCAGTCTGTTGATCAGGTGATGCTTTGGCATAATAGGATGGGCCATTTATCTTTTCAGGCTTTGAAAAGTTTGTTTCCTAGTATATTTGAATCTGTTCAGGTGACAAGTTTGAAATGTGAAAGTTGTGAACTTGCAAAACATTGTAGGACTACCTATCCATTAAGTAATAACAGAAGCAATATTCCTTTTGAAATTGTGCATATTGATGTTTGGGGACCCATCATACCACTGCCATGGGGGGATACAGATATTTCCTATTATTTGTTAATGATTATACTCGGTTCTCTTGGGTTTATCTTATGCGTTCTCGAGATGAGGTTCCAGCATTAATCCGGATCTTTCGTCAAATGATTTTAAACCAATTTGGGATCAAAATTAAAATTTTTAGATCCGACAATGCAAAAGAATATTTTTCAAACCCATTAGCCTCCTACATGCTTGATCATGGGATATCCATCAGAGTACCTGCCCACATACACCACAGCAGAATGGGGTTGCTGAAAGAAAGAATAGACACATATTGGAGGTAGCCAGAGGTATTATGTTTACCTCGAATGTGCCTGTACGTTTCTGAGGGGATGTCATTCTTACAGCAGTTTATCTTATCAATCGAATTCCCTCACGAGTTCTTGACATGAAAACCCCATTCAACCTTTTATACCGTGATAAAGAATTGTTTACCATTCCCCTCAAAACCTTTGGGTGCACTTGCTTCGTTCAAATCCTTGGCCCTCATCGTTCCAAATTTGATCCTAAGGCCTCCAAATGCATTTTCCTTGGTTATGCCCAAACTCAAAAGGGATATTGTTGTTATGAACCGACTTCTGGAAAAAGATTTGTCTCAATGGATGTCACCTTCTTTGAGGATAAACCATATTATCCAAGGGTTTCTCCTCAAGG